GAGTAACAGAGTTGGAAGGGACCTTGGAGGTCTTCTAGTCCAACCCCCTGCTTAGGCAGGAAACCCTACACCACTTCAGACAAATGGTTATCTAACATTTTAAAAACTTCCAGTGTTGGTGCATTCACAACTTCTGGAGGCAAGTCGTTCCACTGATTAATTGTTCTGTCAGGAATTTATTTAAGGCGTTCAGTTAAAGCTGACAATCTGAAGCAAACTTAAAAGAATTATTAACTGACATAGATGGTTAAGACCCTTGCAGCATCCACACAGTTATGTGGGTTCGATCTGGACACTTGCCTCACATTTACAAGAGTTATAGTTTCCTAGGGTCATGTGATCACCATTTGCCAACCTCTCGACACACAAAATCTGTGCAGAAGCTGGCAGGAAGGTTGCAAGTTATAGTTATGGGATGTCTCACTTAGCAACTGCTCTGCTTAACAAATTAATTTTCCAGTCCCAATTGCCGCAAGTTGAAGGCTATCTCTTTAGTCCTCTTCAGAATGACTATCTTGTTACTGTCCTGACCACCTTGGCAACTTTAATGTCTGGGCTTTAACTCCCACAATTCTGGTGGAGGAATTATAGGAATTCTAGCCTCTTAAAATTGCCCAAACTGAGAAAGATTGCTGTGTTAGGTGATTCCTTTGGTTCATTGTGTTTGGGGGGGTTTAGTGTACGTTGCACAGAACCCTATTATGAGTTGGGCAGCCCTAGAAATCCAGTAAATAAAAAAAAATGAACACAATACAAACTTGCATAAGAACTGCAACATTTTCTATCTGGGATTTGAAGGAGTTCCAGTCCAAGGATCCTACCATGACGTTGGGTTGAGAAAAGATGTAAGATGAATTTAGTAGACGACTTACAGTAGGATTCTTTTTTTTAACCTCTCTTGTTTTCTAGTTCCTAGAGCAGAAGTATGGCTACTACCACTGCAAGGATTGCAATATTCGATGGGAGAGTGCCTATGTCTGGTGTGTGCAGGGCACAAACAAGGTAAGCATGCATAACTACTGTTAGGTAAGCTCCCCGTTGGGAGAGCGAGTACATTCAGCGAAGCGTTGTGAGANAATGGAACATATCCTTGAACTGGAAAACCCCATGCTGTATAGCAATAGCACTTAGACTTATATGCCGCTTCATAGTCCTTTCCAGCCTTCTCTAAACAGTTTACAGTCAGCATATTCTCCGCAACAATCTGGGTCCACATTTTACCCACCTCGGAAGGATGGAAGGCTGAGTCAACCTTGAGCCAGTCAAGATTGAACTCCCTGGCAGTGAACTGAATTAGCCTGCAATACTGCATTCTAATGGAAGGAAGGAAGGAAGGAAGAAAGAAAGGAAGGAAGGAAGGAAGGGCAATAGCAATAGCACTTAGACTTATATACCGCTTCATAGTGCTTTTACAGTCCTCTCTAAGCAGTTTACAGAGTCAGCATTTTGCCCCCAAACAATCTGGGTCCTCATTTGACCCACCTCGGAAAGATGGAAGGCTGAGTCAACCTTGAGCCTGGTGAGATTCGATCTGCCAAACCACTGGCAGCTGGCGATCAGCAGAAACAGGATGCAGTACTGCACTCTAACCACTGCGCCACCATGGCTCAGTATATTTCTATAATCTTTTAAAAATAATATTTTTAAATATAAAAAATAATATATTTTTTTACAATTTCCTTCTATGCAACATTTCCACATTGGTATACATCCATTGTATATGCATCCCCCCCTGTTTCAATTTCTCTTTGTGTATACATATGATACTAATACCCTGTTTCCCTCAAAACAAGACCTCCCCAGATAATAAGCCCATGCATGCACTAAAATAACCCCTCCCCAAAAATAAGCCCCCCTGAAAATATTGCAACAGCAGCAGCCATGAGGTGACCACATTTGCCTCCTCCTGCACCTCAAAAATAATAAGGTCCCTGAAAATAAGGTCCAGCGCTTATTTCGGGGGTGGTGGTCAAAAGAAAATAAGTCCCTATCTTATTTTTGGGGAAACACGGTATATAAAGTCCTTAAATTACAATCCTTCATTGTGCATGGTTTCCATTTATACATGTTTATTCATCTCGACATATACATTGCTAATTTCTAACTCCTATGTCTT